ATTTGTTAGAAAGGTTTTATTTCTTTTGGCACCATTTTCAAAGTAGCACTCTTCATCATCTTCAGAAGTTGCTAGTGATGAGTTGTGCTGTTAAAGTAAGAAAGCAAGAGAAAAAATCTTTGAGAGTTAATTATGCAGTAGTTTTTAGCCGTACTAGCAGCATGGCTTTATGGCAATGTCGGTGTGTTGGTAGGTCCACCACTTTGGTCCAGACTGAAATATCTATTTGATGGATTACCATAAAATATACAAACATTTTCAATCCCCAGACAATGAATCCTTAAGACTTCTGAGATATTTCTGCTTTTTAGTGAAAGGCCTCGATTGGCATAAAATTTTGTTCATGTTCCCCTCAGGATTAATTGTAATGATCTGTTAATGGGGTACCCGATTTTACACATCAAAGTCTGTTCACAGGTCCTAGGGAGTGTCACTGTTTATGTAAAAAGAAATCTTTTTGTGGCTCCAGATGGAGCTGTACAAAGTCTGATAAATTGCCTCCAGTGATGTCTCTCACAAACTCACAGTTAGAAAGTTTGAAAGTGAGATTACCAGAACTCATCTCTGCTGCAGGCTAGCAGCTTGAGGCTACATTACCTGCTACTAACATAACACACCTGAATCTTCAATTGAACTGTCAGTGGGCCAGTTGCATTATGGGTAACGTAGGTGTCAGGTTTTGACAAGGTAAAAGAATGTGTGGAATAAAAATGACAACATCTCTGTTTCTGCTACATCTGTTTTGATAACTTGATACCACTGCTAGCATAGCAGTAAAATGCTGTTAACAGGTTGCACTTTAAGGAGCATGTGGAGAGCAGATTATTGTTAAGTGCTGAATTCTATGCGAAAATAACATGTATTTAATACATTCGACCTATAGCAGACAGTAGTGTAAAATGCAGGGCCTTATCATCAGAATATTGATCTGAGAGCTTCTGGAGCTGCTTCAAGTGTCAGCTGACCCGCCAGCAGCCACACAACAATTTTCCAGAAAAGCTCAGATGTCTTTGTTGTCACACATTTCACGGTGGTGTGAACTAAAACCTCTGAGGAGGAAATTAAAAATTAGACAGAGGGAAGATGACTTTCCTGAGCTGCTCCACTACAAAGCCCCAATCTTGACATAAACTAAACTAGAACCAGCAGCAGCGTTCAGTTCAGGAAACTGTTGGGACCCTCTACAGCACTGCCTACTCTGATACAGTGTTTGTCCTAATAAACTAAGACAGCCTTTGCTTTCTGTGGAACTGACAGCCTCTAAAGTCACACCATTCAAAGCCCTCAGCCAGCATCCTGGATTGTCATCAAAGTAACGAGCTGCTCCGCTGGCTACTGATGAAGGTCATCCACTCTTTTTTCATTCCCTCTTTTTCATGAAAGAGAATGCCATCATGTTTTTCCTTTTTTTTACATCATTTTATAAATCCAAACTGGACATAGCAAAAAGTGGAACAAGTGAGAGGCAAAGAAAGGAAGTTTGAAGTTTAGGGGGATTTTGGGGGAGTTTGTTTTTCATGTTAATAATAGTTTGTTAATGTCTTTCTTTCTTCTTTGTCTGAATCCCCCTCATTATGGACTATTACATTTTTCCGGTTTCCGTATTCAGTAATCTATCCATAGCTGCTTTTATTCCATAATTACCGCTGAATAGCTAGGCTGCCATTCAAGTACATGACCCCTCTCACCCCCCCATCACTATCATAACTAACGGCTTTTGATAAACTGTCCTTTAAATAATCCAATTTGTCCCGCTTGACCTGTGGGACCTTGCCTTACAGGCTCCACAGAACACTAATGTCACTGTCCAGCGGCCATTACAGGGGTTAAGTTGCGATGACCCACAGAGATATGATCATCTCCCCCACTGCCTACTGGTCATGCTAGTTAGTATGTTGAATGTTATGTCACGTGTAAAGTACCCTCCCTCTCAGTCATCTTCCAAAACAAGACCATGTCTGTCAGTCATTTGTGGTCAGTGTTTGGTCAGTCTGCAGTGGGCCTATTTTTGGATCACCCCTGTATTTCATACACCCATCAATCTATTATGGGGACTAAGGCCATTCCCAGCATGCACTGGGCTAAGCCACAGTCCAGTCCGTCACTGTGCTAACGGATAAAGAAAGGCAACCAAGAGTTTGGTTTTAGTCATGAGGACTTAAGGAGTTCTTAAATAAATAAACCTACACAAATGTTTTTTCCTGCATTTATATCACAATAACATTTGAATTGATCTAGCAAATAATACACTGATACATAATGATTGGTTATTGGTTTATGTATTTTCACATAGTAATAAGAGTCTTAACAAAAGAATTACAAATAAAATGTGCGATAAAATGGACTAACCAGAGTTTTAATCACATTTCACTTAATGATAGACAACCTCAACTTTGATTAACGTTCAATTTTAGCATCATTTTAGAAGCATATTATAATTACATGAAGTCAACTGTAAATTAAAATATAAATTAAATGTTATTTTGGTCTGTCTTGATTTGAAAAAGTACTTGTGCTGCTCACAAAGCTGATTGCTACATGGTAATAATTGAAGGGGACTTGGATGAGGAAATATCAGTATTTTTAGCAACTCAGAGTTTCTCTCATTTGAATTATGACATCTAGACAGAAGGATGACACTGTGAGTAAATGAAACTGTAACAGTAGGGTGACCTGTTTGCTCCCATTTCCCAGGGACCCTTGCAGCGAACCACATTCACATCCGCTGGCAAGTTCACCTAATCTGCAATACTTTTTCCCCCCTCTATCAGGAAATCATAATTTAATTATGTTCAACAATAACCTTTTGTTTTTTCACAATACTCTCTCTCTTTATTACAAGTAAACAACTTTATTATCCCAGGATAACAGGATATTTGTTGCCTCTCCCAGGCACATCAGCTCTAGTGGGTTCTTTAAACTGCAAAAACAAATCTTGATCCCTGGAAGAGTAAATCACAAATCCCACACAATTTTTACCAGTGCATTTATGTGTAATAAACCACAAAGTAAGGTAAGATAAAGGATCTTATGAAAAAGGACATCAAATGATCCACAGCACAGAACTGCTAAATTGCCTCCATATTGCCTCATCTACAGTTAATGTGCTGAGAGGTTGGTCACACAAATGTGCTGCCTAAAGTGCCATCAGGCAAACATGCTGCAGGATTCTCAATTATGTTGAGTATCTTGCGTAACAGAAATAATTAGTGGTTTTTAAAGGATTCTGTTTGTTGACAATTAAGCCCAATACATCCATGTATTCAAGGTATACTCTAAATAAACATGTTGGTTTAGTGCGTCACTTTCTACATTTGCCTTCCTTTTTATGTACTTAAAAAAAAAACGTCTCTCTCGTCTCATTTAAAAGATTACCATCTGTTTTGAGACTTGATACCATATGGGAAATATCAACCTTCTAAATCACTTGAAAGTGCACATAGCGAATTTCACATTAGAAATGTTCATTTAGATCATTAACATGACTCAACTTATGCAAACTTTCCATAAACACATATGAATAATAGTTTCAGACACAAAACTAACCAAAAACATTGTTTTATTTGACTTTTTTTTGCAATCTATACCTACCTAAATAATTGTCACTGAACTTATGTTTTTAAGCTATAATATGTAACATTTCCACATTCAAATTTCTACACACTAGACCTATGTTATATATTCTGTTGAGTTGAGTTACATTTTCCCAAATGTTTCCAACAATGTTCAAACTCTGACATTTTATTCAGGTCTATTCTGTGTTTTTACCTGTTTTATTAATCTGACGTCTGCTGATAGTTCGGCTCCCGGGAGAAATTTCCAGATCAGTGAACACAGAAGGAATAAACTCCCATAATCCTGCGCTACGTCACAGCGCCATCAATCTTCGTCTGTAGATCTGTAGATTGTTTTGATTGGAGAGACCCCCTGGCGGCAGATATTACATATTGTATGTTTAATTTGTCATCATTTTGTCATTTAAAATCTTCGATATTCTGTGAGCCCAGGTCGCATTAGGAAAGAGGCAGAGTAGACCCTGGACAGGTCGCCAGATTATCACAGGCCGGACATACAGACAGAGAATAAACCACACTCACAATGAAACCTAAAGTATGGGCGCTTAATGCATGTCTGGACATGTCTTTTCATTTTCTTCAATTTGGACTTGTAACTCCAGTCTGTGTGGTTGTTACCACCCTCTATTGGCTTGGGCAGGGTTTTAGACCAAAGACATGCACAAAGCTGGGCTAAAGTTTCCCGGGCAACTGCTCATTTGTCCTCTTTGGCTGAGCTGCCCTTCTGGAGACCAAAAAAAGATTTTCTTTTTGCTGTTGTGGTTGCATAAATATAAGTAATTGCTAAAGTTAGACCAAATTAAATTGCTGTATCATCCAAACTTATATTACTTTTTGATAGGCATGCCTCCATGGCACTCAGAGATGTGGGGGTCCAGAGCCATAAAAAGAAAACATGACACAAAGCAATGCCCTAGGCCCCTGTCATGTGACACTGTAGCATCCAAACCTGGATTTGTTGCTGTTGTGTGGGGGCTCTGGGTGAGTCTTTTGAAGTTGTGGAAATAATTCATGACAGATGGTATAACCAATGGGATGCCCTGTGAATACAAAACTCCAAATATGCTCCCGAACAATTCACAGCTTGTCAAGTTTGTATCCCGTCACGCAATATTGCCTTATATTATGCTATCACATGAACCAATCTTAGCCGGCTAGCTAGTAACTTTTTTCTGGTCAGAGCAACAGCCTCTCAAAATGTCTGTGCACATTCCTCAGATATATTGGAGTTCCACCCAGGCACGTATTTGTTTCCTCAACTAACATTGTCACATTTTCAAAATTATTACAACTCAAACAGAGTGATCGAGGACAGTAAAAAGCATTGTATTGCAGCTTTAAGTACTCTATGTATTTATGACCTGTCCTTGCATAAACAAGTATTGTAAGCCCTCTCTCTCTCTCTGTCTGTCTGTCTGTCCCCAGTTAGCAGTGCCTGCCACGCTCTTTTGGACAGATTTCTGGAGGAGACCTTCTCAGATCAGCCATTTCCACATCATTTGGGCTCAGAAGATGACAGCCAATGTAAGACCTTTGTGTACACACACACACACACACACACACACACACACACACACACACACACACACACACACACAAACTTCATCAATTTAATCTGAAAATGTCTTGACTAGAAAGCACAATAAAGAGAAGAAACTTTGATTAGGGGACAGAGATCCTGTTCAAGGTCAGGATGGAATGACTATATTGCCAATTATCCACCACAAGGAATAGAAAACTCCTCATTATCCAGATCAGCTGTTAGTTTGACTCGAGGTGTAATAACACTGCTCTGTTAGATGATGAAATTAAAAGAACAAAGCAGCATGCTGACAGAAGGGAAACACTTAGGCACAGAAAAGGCAAACCAGACACATTTTTAGGTCATTTCTGATCAAAGGAAGCATATTTTTAGTTGATTTATGACAGAAATAAATTAAAGTGGGTTTCAATGAAGTAAGGATTTAATAATGTGTGTCATATTTCTGCCCTTTATCCCCAGAGGGATTCATATGGTTGTTTGCTATATTAGCTGCAGAGGCAGTTTCCTCTTCAGCCATCACATGATGTCTCGAATGCCTCCTCTCTTCGTTCTTATCCTGTTCATCAAACCCCCCAACACAGACAGACACACAATCACTCAAAATTCACAAAGGGTCTCTTTGTTTGGCTCTTAAGCAGATTTTGGATTCCAATTAAATTTGTAGTAAGTTTGGGCCATGAGTCAAGGAAGTGATTAGTCTGTGGGGGAGGTCATGATCCAGGTGTGACCCCAGGACATTTTTTAAACCATCTTTTATCTTTTATTTTTCAGTATTTTGGACAACTTAGGTGTTTTTTTAATTAACTAGGATGAATACTTGAGCATCTGGTACATCTGATGCCGTTCTGGATCCAGATCCAAATGTTAAATGTAAAAAAACATCTGTTATTAAAATGTAAAACTTTGAGGGTTTTGTAACTTCAGTGAACGGCGTCATGTATTTGTAAGATTTCATAATCTCAGAAAAACAACTTGTAATGTTTGAATCATGAATTACATTTCTCGTGATCCCAAGAAAACAAATTAAAAACATCTTCTTTACGATCATCGTCATCATTCATGCTGTCATACACTTTTGGGGGGAATCACAGATGATGTGTGTTCTCTGCAAAATCTTGTTGACTTGTTGGTTTTGAAAATTCAAGATTCAGTCTGTTAAATCATCATGTTTTTGTACGTCAAAATATCTCACCAGGCATATTTGGTCAAAATATGTTTTTTTATACATTTTGTCAAATATTAAAATAAAGCATATACAAGTAGTAGTATATATATGGATTGTTTCAGTAGCTGTAAATTACACATGTTGTGTTTTTTCCCCCGCTTCAAACACTTTGGACAGAAGACAAAAATACCACTTTGCCATGCCATTGACAACTGTGATTTTTTTCTGATGTTTTATAATGTTTGTTAAATTCCCCCTGTCCTTGAATATTTACCCAAATAAACACTACATTATAGGCCACCCTCTCATATTTCTGTCTTGCAGTTACCTCCTGTGATTTTGAGTCTCTGTGCCTCTGGAGTTCATCAAATCACAGCGACCAAAGTGACTGGTCGGTGGTGTCGCCACAGCAACCAGCAAGCGCGCAGGCTGGGATGATGCCTGTGACTGACCATTCAGTGGGAAGCTCTGATGGTAAGAGTGCGGAGAATTTCTGAGGAGAAATGATACTGCTCATGCCATCTTCTGCTGTGATTGTGATTTAGACAAAACCCAGTAATGGATCTTTGGACTTACTCGAAGCTCTTTGGATCAGTACAATCTCTCTTGACATTTATTTTGATTTTGTGCTCATATGCCCAGCCTAAGATTTGTCCTAATGTTAAAGCATTCGTCAAGTGGTTTACAGGAGTGGCAGTATCATGAGGCTGCTATAAAACTGTCAAACATTAAATTTCTACTCTGTTTTATTACCCTAGGACACTTCCTTCTCCTAAGCTCCTCCCCTGCTGCAGAGGCCTCTGGGAAGTGCGAGTACCACTTAACCAGCCCAGTCTTGCCAGGAAGCGTCAGGTACTGCATCTTGCAAGTGGCTCTGTATGAGGCCGGTCCAGCAGTGGGGAACCTCACGCTCCTGATCAAACCAGTTCACTCAGGTTCAGCTGTTCACTCTGTGGTTCTCAACCACAAGAGACCTGACGACCGCAGGTCAGCAAACACACTCAGAACATGCTCTCCATGCCTTGTTTGTACAGAATAGTTTATTTTTTTGTGAACCATTTATGCAGCACAACATGTCAACTTAATTAGTGTCAAAAAAGCTAAATCCTGCATCTTTTCTGATTGAAGTGCTTGTCAAACTGAGGTCTGGCCTATAAAATAAATCAAATGGGCTTAGATTCACTGAAATGGAAGGTGACTCGGGCATTCAGGCAGAGCAAGGGCACAGAAACTAATACTTTTACTTCTGTGGTACTAAAGTTCAATAAAGAAAATGTTTCTTAGCTTTCATGTTGCACAAACTGTAGAATTGTAGCCACATGGGGACAGTGGTCCCCAGTGTATTGTTTGGCTAAATGGGAACATGTATTTCCTATTGATCTAATGCTGAAGTACAGCCTTCTTTAGAGCAGCTAAAAGCATTCATGTCTCTAGATGCATACTCTGGAAATGAATTTATATATAATTGGTTAGGACAGAAGAGGGATGGATGGGCATTTGCAATAAGTTTGTACATTGGCTTTGTTAGTGTCTGTGCAGTAATGGACTGAGCAATTCCATTATGAGGCACACACAGCCAGTGGTTTTATTTATTCAGTCCTACTATTCATCTCATACCTCTCGTCCCACATGACACAGATTCTACTGTAGTTCTGTGTGTGATGTTTCACCTGTACAGACTGTTCTCAGAAGTCTAACAACTGTCCTAATTGGACAGTTTTCCTGCAAAACAGGGGCTTAATGTTTTCTGGAAATAGCACCTAGCCTTTTTCCTAATTTCCCCTGTATGTTCCCAATAGTGAAAAATTACTTGCCTACTATAATAAATGTGCAGTATTTTTAGTAATGGAAAGGAGAGATGGATTTGTACTGTGTGTAAATCTTCAATGCCATCACATAGCACTGACGTAACTGCATTCGGAGATAAAAACCTTGTACCCGGTGGAGCTTTTGACCAATAGCAGTGTGGTAGAGAAATGTTTTGATGAGCTGTATTATTTGTTAATGTTGTGATAGGCATTTCGTCTGACTAAATATGGACAATGGTGGCACTGTTGTGCACAGATGCAATTCGCAAAGTGATATAAACAATGCAAGTTTTAAAGGACTAGTGTGTAGGATTTAGTGGCATCTAGTGGTGAAGTTGCAGTGTGTAGGAGAAACTATGATGGCCCTAAAACTCCCTAAACAGCCAGTGTTTGGTTTGTCCGTTCTAGGCTACTGTAGAAACATGGCGGTTTAAAATGGTTGACTCCATAGAAGAGAACCCGCTCCCTCTGTAGATAGAAACGTCTCACTCCATGGTAAATTAACCTCTAAAGAAAAATTCTTATTTTTTAGGTGATTATACACTAATGAAAAGATACCTATAAATACTATATTTCGATTCTGCCAATAGATCCTCCTAAATGTTACACAATGGACCTTTAAAACAGGCCAAACAGCCTTATGCATATCATGATATAAATACTGTGTTAAATCAGGTTGTAGAGCTGCAACTGACATCCATCAAAACCTTTTTCTCTGTCAGTTTGCTAATGACATTAGTGAATTTTATTAACCATGTTAGCTCAGTGATTGACTGCAGGTGACTGTGGTTGCTTAGTGACAGCAAAGGGATGATACCAGGACGACTTGCCATGCAGGCTTTCCAAAAAAAATAAAAAATAAATAGTGTATCTTACTGTATATGTTTAAGCCTTTCTAATTACTGATTGCAATGACTGTTTTGGTTGTTTAATGCAGTATTTTGAAATGTATTCATACAAGCCAGTAATAGATGTGACTTTAAAAGACATTTGTCTGTGATTGGTTGGTGTAGGGCTGAGTGGGAGGTTCTGGAGACTGTGATTGGTCAGATGGACGAGCCCTTTCAGGTGGCCCTGCTCTACACTTCCTGTATGGGGGAAAAGGGAGCCACCGTAGCTCTGGACTCTCTGGAGCTCATAGACTGTGAATCAGGTGAGTATATCCTGTTCTATAGAGCTGTGACTTACTGACTTTTGTTCAAACCAAACCCTACATCAGCTGTTTCCCCTGATAAATACAACAAACCAGCAGTATAGTTTGTAAATTGGAAACCTGCTGACTGTTTCCACAGCAGCTGGAAAGAGAGACACTGAATATACACCTGTACCTGAACAGCCAGGCGATAACTTCTACCTTCACAATGCTCTAGATAACTTCTATGCTTCACAAGTTTTTGTGTCAGAAATGCGTAAATTCAATTATATGTTTTTTTATTGAGGTCATAGTTAAAGGGAGAATTATATTAGATTGCATTATTAAGAGGTGTTTATAATTTTTTTCCTCCCTATTTACATAAATAGGAGGGGCAAAGTATTATAAAGTACTCTCAATACAAAGTAGACTTTGTGGTGGACACATTAGATTGCACAGGCGTTCTTAATAAAGTGGCCACTGAGTGCAGGTGTGTATGTAAATTAAATCAGATCTGGTAGCAAGATAATCACCCAGATCACACACAAAATGATTTATAGTTGATTTTTCACATTATAAACAGGAAACACTGTATTCTTTGTTTGGCAGGTTGGTTGGTTTTACTTGGTTTTAAAGCTGTATGTTGCTTTTGGGAAAACATTTTTGAAATCCATTATTCGGTTTGTGGCAGAGAGTTAAATGCGGCGGACTATTTCTTGGCTGCTGCCAGGAAAACAGTGGAGACTCCAGGAAGTTCCTGCTCTCAGCCAAGAAATAGTCCAGCAAATAACCCCCTGTAAAACATAGAACTGTCACATTTACACCTTTTTTGTACTGGTTAAACAAGATACCAGGTGTAATTTAGTGAGCTTAAAGGGCCAGTTTGAGAGATTCAGGAGGCTCTATTGGCATAAATGCAATATAATATTCAGAGGAATGTTTTGATTAGTGTATAATCACCTGAAAATAAGAAAAAAAAGTTTTTGTTACCTTAGAATGAGACATTTTTATCTGTTGAACTGGCATGTTTTCTACTGAAGCCCAAAACGGATAAACCAAACACTGCCTCTATAGGGCCTTTTGCATTTTTCAAGAGTTTTGCAGCCACGGTAGTTTCTCCTACACACTTGGAAGCGTGAGCTGTAGTTAGTTAGTTGCAATCTGCAATTTCACCACTAGATGCCACAAAATGTTATACACTGATCCTTGACTTTTTTTTTTTGTTGTTGCCTTGAGCCAGGGTAGCTGTTTTCCCTTGATCCCTGTCTTTGTGCTAAGCTAAGCTAACTTGGTGCTGAGTATAAATTATTTTTAACAGCTATGAGAGTGATGTTGATTTTCTCATCTTACACTCAACAGGAAGTGAATAAGCATGTTTCCAAACATTTAAAGAAACATCCATTTTAATCTCGGGATTAAATGACTTCCAATTGTGTACATCTTGTTTGCTAATGTGTTCAGTTTAGTTCTCCATGATACAGAGGATATGAGATAACAGCATTGTGTAATTGTTGTGTGGTGTCCGTGATGCAGAACACCAGGTCATCGAGCTGGATGGAGGATGTGGGGAATCTTTCCACTGTGAAAACTCAGGAGGCTGCATCGACCAGAGCCAAGTGTGCAACTTCCACACTGACTGTTCATTAGGAGAGGATGAGGGCTTCATCTGTGGTGAGGTTTTGATTTTATCTCCGTAAAATTACACTATGCAGGATCTGCTTCGTGTCCTTCAGTTTCTATTAGTAATACTTGAAAATGTACTTTTGCAGTTAGCTTGAGAGGTTTCCCCTTGTATGATGATGAATATTTATATTTGATCTGCACCATTGGACTGACTGGACTGAAAGTGGGTGTGTGAAAACAATATGAAAGCAAAAGCAGTGCTTCTGTTTGTGTGACTGTGTGTAGAGAGTGAAGTAAAGCAGCCACTGGCAGGCTGTAAGCCATTTGCATTAGCTGTATTAAAGTTTAGATCCATGATAAATTGTTAATCCTTTGACAGGAGGTACCAGATAATTATATGCCAAGGGCCTCTACACAATAAATTTAAAGTGCAGGAAGTAACTATTATGCACCTTTAAAGTGTGAAGCCTTAGTGGAGCTTCTGCATCAAAATGTTCTCATCAGCTAGTGTGTTTTTTCTTCATTAGCAGAAAATTATTTTATTGTATCATCAGGAATTTGATATATGCTTTTTTTTAAGTTTTCATCTTGAAACCATGCCTTTAAAATGTCGACACACATGATTCACCTCTTGTGGATTTATTAGTGTTTTGAAATCTCACATTTGAAAAAATATGCTGCAGACAAAAGTGTGTTTTCAGACAGTCAGTACCTTTAATTTCCTCCCTGACTTGACAGTCTGAAATATGACAAGCTTCCTGCTTCTCTCTGAAAACATCAATCACTCAGTAGAAAGAAAAACACTTCACCACACTGAAATTCAAAAGGCCTCGCTTTAGTCAGTAATGAAATCAATGAAGTCAGGGCTATTTAGAGTCTTTGAGTTGTGGATCCCCGGGGGAAAGGAGCTGGGTCACTCAATGGCCCACCAGTAAAATCTATCCTGTATGAGTCATAAAGTACTCCGTTAAAGGGACACTCCACCGCTTTATATAACTGGCTTTTTTTGTCATCTTAAGATCAGATGAGAAAAGATTGATATCATATTTAACTCTGTGTCCAGGATACATGGATACATGGAATCATCAAGTGCTTTCTTTGTGATTTCTATATAAATCACTCTCTCCACAAAAATATTTTTGAACGTACATAAAATTATCTAGCTTTGTATAGAAATGTGAAAACAATCCACCCACAAAAAAGGTTCACAAATGTGTTTCTGATGCTCAAACAAAAAATGTCTTGCTATAAATAAATGTAATATAAATTCATAAATATATGAATTCAAAAGAATTTGCAATTTTTGTTAAAATATTTGGATATTGTTACATTAATATACCGTTGAACCTGAATAAGCATATTTCTCAACATGTTTAACTTTTTATTTAGAAGGTGTAGACATAGAGAGATATATACATATTGTGGCGATGTTGTAGTTTGAAATATGTTAGCCGAGTGACTCTTGGATGTATTGGTAACTAGCCTGCCAGCTAATATGAATCAACATGAAATAAGACAGGTTCGGAGTGCTTGGAAGGCACCCCACTTCAAAGTTGGCAATTTTTCCCTGCTTTCAGACTAAACACACCAGCTTTTTCTTTTACTGGATACAAAGAGATTTCTTATGTATTGTCTCATGTGACTGTAAGATGCCAAACAAGCATATTTCCTACAAAGTCTGGAAGAGGTCAGAGCACTCTAACCTGCAGATACAGTGTAGCAGGCATATCATAGAATCCAAATAGTATGAAGTGTGGAGATTATGAAACATGCCCAAGCACACATACTAAAACTGATTTTCAAATTAAGAAATATAGTACCCATTGAAGTATATTTTGTGCTCATCTAATTTCTCCAAAAAGAGGAATAAAGGGGGGAAGGATGGACTTTTTAACAGCTGTGATCTCTGTTTTAGTGAAATATGACAACAATCTTCTTCCTCCCCAGATGCTCTTCCATTTGGCTCGTACTGTTCGTTTGAACGGGATGCGTGCGGTTGGTCCGTGTCCAACCAGCACTCAGCCTGGAGAAGGGTCGCTGGAGATGAGCTTCTGGAGAAAGAAGACATGCAGGGAGTCACTCTGCAGAGTACACCAGGTTAGTTGTGTGTGTGTGTGTGTGTGTGTGTGTGTGTGTGTGTGTGTGTGTGTGTGTGTGTGTGTGTGTGTGTGTGTGTGTGTGTGTGTGTGTGTGTGTGTGTGTGTGTGTAATATGGGCATTTCCCTCTGGTAAACCTCCTCCCATTCTGGTGAATTATTGTGGTGTGAAGAGATGGAAGTTGAAATTATCCCCATTTGTTTTTACTACAAAACTGTCAAAACTCATTTTTCTGTCAGACAGACTTTTTATTTATTGTTTTATTCTAAAACCAGCTAATGATCGGAATGTCTCGTTAGATTACTACCATATGTAGTTACACCATATCACCATGAAGAGTTCATATGGATCGTTTAAATCCAGCTTGTGCTAATAGAGTTCCGAATGGCTTTAAATCTAAGTTACTAATAGCTTTCATTCTTCTGAGAATTTTATCTTATTTTATAGGCTGGAATAAAACAAGTTAAAAATGTATGGCTATAAAGGATTCACCACAAACTTTTTGAATTATTACTGCCGTCTATTATTTTCATAACAGTTTGTTTCATGACCTGGATAGCGTTCTGCTGTCACATTTATTGTGCGCCCCCAGGGCACTTCCTGTTTTTGCAGGTAAGAGAGAGTAATTCCCTTCGAGAGGCGTCCATTCAGAGCTCCTTTTTCCCTTCCCCAGTCTCTACTACTGCCTGCCAGGTCAGTTATTTACACTGATACAATAGTTTACAGTCATTTTGTTGACATATTTATGTTAGATAACAAACGTTTATTTGTCAATATGCAAAAACCCTTGCTGAAAATGTGTTTTCCTGTGCAGATGCGTTTCTCTCTGTACCTGTATGGGGACTTTAATGGTTCTTTGCTGGTGGCTATAGAGGAGAATGGGACCACCAACGCACCACTGGTCTGGGAGAGAAATGGTCAGTGGACAGATGACTGGGAAGATGTTGCCCTGCAGCTGACTGGCCTTCATCATGGGTACGTAAAATAAAAAAAGGAACGGTAGAGAGAGCAAATGAATCAGGCACGGTCTTGTGTTTATAAATCATCATTCAAACTTACTCACTTCTACTTTTTGTCACTCAAACACAAAAGCAGGCTTTGTAATATTTCAATTTTCTTTCTTTCTTCCATGTCAAAATAAAAGCAGTACTGGTGTTACAGTTTTACAGTCGTGGTGAGGAGGCTGAGAATGAATGCAGACTTCAGATTGATGATGAGAAAGATTTAATCTAAATAATTTTTAATAATTTTGAAGATTTTCCTAATTTTTTTGTACTGAATTACTTCACACATATATAACACAACTGTAATTCTCTAAATACCCACATGGTGTGTGCTTTGCTTCAGGTTCCACGTTAAGGTGACAGCTGTGTGGGGACAAGGCTCCAATGCTGACGTCGCTCTCGATGACATTGCAATTGGAGCAGCCTGCTTCAACACAGGTAAGCTGTTGCTAACACGCTATAATTTCAAACAGGAGGGACAAGTGAAGGAAGTTAAGATGTTTATTATATCACATGATATGTGATGATTAAGTCTTAACCCTGTGGAACTTGAAGCCCTATAGAGCAATATTTTTTACAAGCACATGCATGAGCTGGCAGGTGGCACGATACACCTTCCTGACATTCCTCACAATCCTGAGTTGGGGGCAGTAATGTGCAAAGTTGTGCAGCAATGCCCCAGCAAATGCATTGAAGACAAAGACTGCAAGCTAATAAACATGAATGTAAACAACGCACAATTTTAAATAGAAAAAAAAATTATATTGCAAATGTCTTATGAGGAAGGAAATGTATATAACATATCTGTTAGACCTCACACACAATGTGTTTTGGTCAGAAACACTAAATGGAAACATCACTTTTGTTTGTTAACAAGAAACATCCTCCAGAACCTCCTTAATTAGCACTTGTGGCCACAGACACCACTGAGCAGCAAATGCAACAGTGCCCATTAAGACTGAAAAATCTGTCTTATAAGCATCTGTCTCTCAGCATTACTTTTCAAATGATCTGTACTCTATAAAATCAAAGTCCTGCTGAATGAAATGGAGAACAGGGAGTCCTCCCAACTGTTGAGACTGAGTGATGACTGCAGTCTTTTGCTTGGAGTTGTCATCAGTCATTTGTTTGATGCCCCGTTTCAATGACTGGTTGTGACACGAGGGTAACCGACATTTAATTATTGTAGTATAATTGTAGTACCGCAATATGTGTGCCAACATTCTTGTGTCCACGTCATTATGCTTCACAATCATGTGAAAGGACTTTTCTTAAAACCTCTATATTATCTATTGAACTCGGGATGAATTGTATTATCTAGCGTGGTAACAGAGTTGATACACAGATGTGTAATTTGAATTTAGATTAAAGGGATAAGTCTGTTTTTGTCTTGGAATTTAAAGGAAGGATGGCTGAAAACCTCTGTGGAGCCACAGTGATAACAGTGGTGTACGGCTGTTGCTCAGCTCCAGTTGGGAAAGACTGGAAATGTTTTTAACTGATTTCAGGGTCAGTTCAGGATCCCAGAGTGACTTTAGTAAACCCTGAATTAGCTTAATGTTTCTCCCTATCACATTTATAAACTCCCTCTGTGCTGAGATCTTGTCATGCTAGCTTGCATGCTTTTATGTTGTTGGAACTAGACCACGGAGGCTCTTTTTGGATGTTACTACTCAGCTAGGTTTGCTAATTGTAGTGATGTGCCCTTTATGACTGCCTGTTTCATAGGCCTGTGTTCTTTGTGGTTACGCTACCAATATGTGCTTACTTCTTCTTGTCTCGGTTTAAGCTGTTAGTTGGTGTGGTGGTTTAAACAAAAAAACACAAAACATTACAAAATGAACCACTGCCATGAATCTTTGCATGTTAACTGTTCCATACAGTGGTTTTGAGAATTGATACAATATCACAAAAATAAGACCCCCTTTAAGAAAGGTCAGCGATGCCACATTGGTTTCAGGGAAGGACTGGCAGAGGACAGTGCAGTACACAAAGTTTAAACAGTATCCGGTAAGAATTCACTGTGTCTGTATGCTACATAGCGGTTGAAGAGGAATTAGTGAGAAATATATTCATGATGTTTTCCTGCACAGGAATTAGTCTGACAAAATGTTCTCCTCCATTCATCCATAATACCTTTCACCGAATTGTTTTCATTCGCTTTAATATGTGTCACTTTCTGTCCGGATATAATTTATGCTTCAGTGATATGCAGATGGATGAGTGTGACTCCTTTTTTCTCTTTCTTCCCACCTGTCTCTACCTTGGTTCCCTGCCTCTCCTCAGATCTCAACTCTCTCCTGCCCATGACAGACTTGGAAGATTTCCTAAGCCCCCTTCCAGAGCCTTCGGCCTCAGGTAGTGTGCAACTTCAGCCGTCACCTTGGATACGTTGTAAATTTCCAAAGCGTCCCTCATCTGCCGTGTCATTTTTTAATCCATCCTGCATGCAGAATTTACATACCAGGTGGTAGACTGTACACTTTCAATTTCTCTTGGTGCATGACGCTTTATCTACCATATCAGGTGACCAGAAGCTTTCAATTCATTTGACATTCAGCGCTCACATACCAGGTGGTTAACGCAATTTCCAGCGACTTTCCTGGATGTTGTGTCATATGTGTGTTTCATCTTAGTCTCACATATTTTTCTGCATTTTTATTCTTTTGTCTCTCTCTATTTTTTCCAGGTGAATATACTATACCTACATTAGCAAATCACTAAACAATTCTAAAATCTCGCACCAGCTCATGTCAGTGTCTCCGTTTTTCTAGAGGTGTCTTTGATGACGTGGTGGTTTACCTCATGCGGTGCCAGTGGTCCCTACGGCCCGACCCAAGCCCAGTGTGACAGTGCCTACAGGAACAAAAATGTCAGTGTTATTGTGGGGAAGGAAGGCCCCTTGAAAGGAGTCCAAATGTGGAGAGTACCTGCTACTAACAGATACATGTAAGTGATAGAGGGGATGTTTTTTATGCTCATCTAGCTGAGCTTTATGGTGGAAGTCAACAGGCTGGAGAGTTATTTATTCAAGTATTAGTCTGATGATATATTATATTGTTCTTACTAAATATATAAATAAATAAATCCCATGAAAAGAACAAAACCCACAATGAATTCTCTCATACTAACATTGCCTGCATAGTCAAAACATCATATAGCTTATTCCTCTGTGCCATAGACCTTAATTGTTGTTAAAAACACACATAAATGAGCCACATGGTTGCACTTACAATGAACCTGGACACTGTAGTTTATCTTGAGTCAATCAACATACATACTGTAAATACTCACTATCTCACAAAATCTGGAGCTGAAAAAAGTCCTCAGCCAATGCATTATTTACTCCTGTTTTGAGTAATGTTTACTCAGAATTGTGTTATCGGAAATTACTGAGCCTTTTTAAATGTTGAATGCTGAATGAATTTTCTTGTAATCAGTAGGAACTAATGTGCTTGAGGTTTAGAGCCAGACAGAGCGGGGAAGTCAGAAATGATTGAGACATAGACATGTTGTTGGTTTTGGTCTTTTCATAGGATTTGTTGACAGAAATAAAAATGTCAAATATAACCATATTGTCCTGTAAGAGCAGTGATTCCCATTATGAGTTGATGTCACAGGCTTTATCTGGGCAGAAAGAGTTCAACTGTTGTTTACGCTTTTCTTTCTTTTATTATCTGAATCTCATCTGTAGTTTATTTCTAGGATCTTTGTCTTTAAAGAGACGGTATTCATCCACATGTGTTAATATCGTTGTGTGACTGGGCCTGACAGTTTAAAAGTGTGACTGAATGCATGGGGACAAAATTATTTTGGCCATGCTCAGGGTAACTGGTTGTTGTCTTGCCAGATCAAGACTTCAAACAATTTGATTGTCTTTGTACAGCCAGTCATGGGGCCTCATTATCACACCCACAACATGAAATGAGGCCGTGGAAAAGTGGCAGGATTAATCATGGGATTTACAGAGTACTAAATTACTTATTATACACAGCTGTACTTCATGCCAATATCAACACAATATGTGTATGTTTTTAAATCTTTTTAAAACCGCAGGTGACTGAGTCTGCTGATTTGTGTGTTATGACAGACATCTATAGCTGTTTGTATTGCAAACAGTGTGTATTGCAGTCTATCTATCTAGCATGATATATACTGTGGAGCTTGAGCCAGAAAGCAGTTTCTTGCAGTATTTAATCCTCTTGCGGCGCAATAATCTCCCCCAGGATCTCTGCCTACGGGGCTGCTGGAGGCAAAGGAGCCAAAAACCACAATAAACGTAACCACGGGGTCTTCATATCTGCCATTTTTCCTCTGGAGAAAGAAGATGTACTTTACATTTTGGTGGGCCACCAGGGAGAAGACGCATGTCCGGGGGTGAGTAGGTTGGAAGGATTCCTTATCATGTGTGATGTCCCCACTGGGACTTTTACCAGGGAAAGAGGAGACAAGAGAGTGACCTAGATAAAAAAATATTTCCGGCTGGATTCATACTTTTGTGAAGCCAGATTCTTCCTCTGAAACTCGAATCTCCCTCTCCCCTTGTGGTGCAGAGAAATCCCCTCACCCAGAAGATCTGCCTGGGAGAGTCGTCAGTGATTGAAGACAACTTCAGGGGAGAGGCCGGCTCAGAGTGGGCTGGGGGAGGAGGCGGAGGAGGTGGAGCCACCTACATCTTTAAGGTGACAGAATAAATTATTTGCAAATGTACACGTGCACCACTAAGCATGTAAATAGTTGAAAATGGCTCAAATGAGTGAGATTTACAGTGATTCTGTCTCGTCAGATGGAGGGAGGTGAGCTGATTCCCTTGCTGATTGCGGCAGGTGGAGGAGGAAATGCCTACCTGGAGGACCCAGAGTCCAGTCTGGACCAGATACCACTGGAGCAGTATGAAAACAGCACCGTAGCCCCCAGTACCAAAGGTCAAACTGGTGCTGCAGGTACTATATCATAAGTCATACTACTACCAATATAGATTCACTGTTTGTTTAAAGGATTGACTGAACTAAACTGCCAAAAACCTTTTTTAATTTACCTGTAGTGGTATCTAACCATGCAGAATATGCCCAGGTTTGATTTATATGATTTTGAGATTACTCTCTCCACCCTAACACAATGAGAGGGATTGGAATTTTGTTTGTGGTGCTCACAAAAATGTTCCCATTACTCTGTATAATCCACTGAAAATGCAGTTAACAGTCCTCACATGTCTTTAAGCGAAAGTAGTTTCAAATGATAGTGATTGAAATTACTACGGAGAGTGAGGTCTGTAAACAATTTGGAGTAACAGGAACATTTTTTTGGTCAATTCTTGGATTTTTTAAAAAAGTTATTTGGACATTTTATGCCTTTATTAGATCATCGACAGTGGAGAGATGACTGTAAAACGAAGGCAGAGATCATGAACATACAATTTAGGTCCTGGCTGGGATGTTGCAATTCTTTAAAAAATTGTCAGTTGAGATACTAAATGCTGGTATTTAGTTCACTTTTTCATGAAATTTTATTGGACCTTTCTTAATGAAAAATGCCTTAAGATTTAAAAAAAAACGTGTCAGAACGATTATGACAGTTTTGTCTGTTCAAAATACTTCAGTACCTCCAACGTCATTGTGACTTGATGATCCCAGCTTGAGAGCAACCATTTTATATAAAAGCTGAGGAAGAGAGAAGAATGACAGAATGGTTACATTATAGTTACAAAAACACAGAAAACATCAAAATGTAAAATTTTTAAAGAAACTTTGAACAGAAAAGAACGCACAGAATAAGACATGACATAACATAGTATATACACTACTATATTAATTATGTATAAAATGAATTACGGGAGTTACATTACAGTTATTATTCCTGAAACCACTTGAGTGTGGCGGCAGACTCAGGTGTGTACTTTATGATCACAGATGTTTGTACCTGTTTATCTCATCTAGTTGCTGAAGTGGTATAAACCTCAGATGACGACCAGATTTCCCATTGAAACTGGCAGACCTTTTGTGTGATATCAAAAGAAAAATTATTTAATTTCTCTGAAAAGCGTTAAAACCTGCCAGAGACGTGTTGATATGCTGGTTGTTGGTTGAACGCCACGAGAGGATTTGTTTGTTCTGTACACACACACACACACACACACACACACACACACACACACACACATCTGAACCAGCACACGTTGGCATGCGTTCATGCTCTCACACAGCAGAATGTGTTTGGCCTGTGGATAATGGGATCTATCTGGATGGTATTTTTAGTTTTCTGACAGGTCTTGACCTTTGAAGCAAGACATATATGGCAGGTCTCTCTCTCTTCGCTCCTGGAATTGCCTGCTGGAACATTCTCACTAAATCCCCTCAGACCAACAGAGTCTCAACACAGACCATCTATCTGCTCATCTTATTGAATCCTCTGTGGGATTGTTTAGATAAAGATCTGAGTGTCAGGGGAAATATGTAGTGAGCAGAGGAGGTGTGTGTTCACGCATATTTGTGGAGATGTGTCTGGCAATGTTGAAACTGGTCATTCTGACATCTAGAGGCTAGAGCTGCAGGAGATATTTAATTATCATGGATCACAGCATGGACTTTGCAAAATTTGCAGAGGCTTAGGAACTGCTGCGGGACATTTGTGATTTATTTAAAACCTTCTTTTATCTGCTCATCAGCGTAGATTAGAGGCCTTGATCAGGTGGTGTTTGAACCTGTCGACTCTTTTCTATTATTATTCATTACTAAAGGGCATCTGTCTCCATCACAGCACTGTGAAAACATTTTAATTCCAGCTTAATATATAAATATAAAAAAAGCGAAAATGTAATTACAATAGTGTGTGGTTGTCAGGGACTTCAGTGACTAAGTGAATGGGTGTAAAGTTATAAACAAAAGGCAAAATCAGGCTGAAGCCTCGCTGTTGACCCTCTCATGTCTGCCCACCAGCTGCCTGAGAGTAGGAACAAAGAAACACAACAGCACGACAAAAACAGTTGGACAGAACAAGAGCTCTGTCTTTCCTACTTCTATGCTGCGTATCTCTGCTTGCTTCACTAAAGTCTTCCCACCTTGTCAAACTTAGTCTCAACAAGACCTGAGCTCTTTGCTTGCAAAACCTTGGCTACTTGAGACTTGTCGATAACACACCGAGCAGAACCTGATTTGATGGCTGAATACCCAGTCAGACAGCTCTCTCTCACTGAATGTCTCAGTCACTAATTCAACATGCTCAGGCAGATCAACAGCCTCCAGTAACAGCTGGCTAGAGCAAATCTAGACTGACGCCTTTATGTGCTGAGCCTTTATACAGAATGTGTAAAAAAAACAACAAACAAATAGCCTGTATACAGTATACAAGAAGGCTGGTTGTTTATCAGTTATCCAGTTACCCAATGAGAGCTGCTGGCCAGCAACCAACACATGCAAACATAAACAGAAAAATACCATCACAAAAATAATGGTAAAACATAAAACCTGGTTGAGTATTTAAAACTAATAATAGCCAAATACTTCAAACTAAAACTCTAACAAAAGACGCATCAGTTTTGAGCATTTTGTTTTTTAAATGTGTGTCTTACAAGTCCCCCAACTTTGTGGAAAACCAATACTAAATCACTACCCCTTTAACATTACTGACATAAACCTACAGGTTTACCTTAATACACTTTCTCTGGAGGAAATCAAGCTAGCTTCTTTTTCAGTTGCCCAAACGTGCAGCCAAACATGTCTACAACCTCCCTAAATCCATCCATGTATGCCAACTCTGATGCTGCCTTTGGCTTCCTGCTTAAATTCAAGTTATGGTGCAAACCTCTTCAGAACAAAATGTTTGTTCCTTTAGTTTTTTTCCTACAAAATATGTACAATATGTAACATGTATGATGTCAAAGTGTTTAATTTTGTGCTTGTTTCATTTATGTTTCCCTGAAGGTGGAGGTGGAGGTTGGAAAGACAGTCCCAGTCCCCACCTGAGGGCGGGAAAGTCTCTGGTGGAGGGAGCTGAGGGGGGGTCCTCATGTCCCCTGGCCTTGTCCAAGCTCAGCTGGTCCACCTTTGGGGGTTTTGGAGGTGGAGGTGGGGCCTGCACAGCCGGAGGCGGCGGAGGAGGTTACAGAGGTAACAGTATTCTGTCAGCTACACTTAAACTACATTGCTTTATCTTTTCTAAACCCTGCACTAAAAACCCAAATTGCTTTGATGTCTTTTGTTTTCTTCTGTCTGTCTATTAAACTTAAAGAAGAAGAATTATCATTTGTGTGTCTTTCTTAAAAGATTTGATTTGTGCTTCAGTCTAAAGGATAATTTATGCCTGTCTGGTTGCTTTCGACAGTTGATTCTTGAAATAAATTATACAAATTTTAACTTAAGAAAGTTTTGCAGTATATAATTTTCTACCACTCAGAACGATTGGATAGTTTCTTAGTTTGTTGCCATGGTTATCATACATAGTAATTGAACATTATTTCTACAATTTGTATTTTTAAGTGACATAACTGCCTGCGAGAACTAATGTACAAAAACCAATGTAAAAATGCAAGGTGTCGTGCAATGACAGTGTTTTTCTGTCAAGAGAAAACTGTCGAAAGTGGCAACAAATTGGCAAACTGACAAGCACAAACTGTTATAATTGGATCAGAATGGTTTTTACATTCATGTAACACTGAAGGATTTGACTGAGCATTCACAACATACATTTTGTGACAGGAGGTGATGCTGCGCTGACGGATGAGATCACAGCTGACGGTCAGAATGGAGTCTCATTCATTCATCCAATGGGAGAGATTTTCCTTCTGCCTCTGGCAGGTGAGACTGACTCCCCCACATATAATCATAATGAAGACAGTGATGCTGATAAATCTGATGACTGCCTGAGTGAGAATAGAGAGAACAGAGGAGAGTAGAAAGTAAAGCCTGGGCTGTTGAAAAGTGGACAATCTTTTGTCAAATTAGAATAGAATAGAGTAAGTGAGGCACACTAGATCAGAGTAGGAAAAAAATGAGGAGGACTAGAAAGAATAGAAGAGAGAAGAAGGCAAACACCATCCCCTGATGAAGACTGAATAAAATAGAAAAGAGTAGAGTGGATACGAGTTGAGTAGAGAGCAATTTTCATCTGCTGGTTAAGACAGTAAGATGCAGCTGAGTGCCCTCGAAAAAGCTAGTAAGAGGTCATTGAATTACGTTACATTGAAATATTTTTTTTCCAAAAAAGTAGTGGAGTAGTAGAGTAGAGTCAAGTAAAGTAGAGAAGAGAGCAAACTCTATCCATTGATGAAGACTTTGAGATGCAGTTGAAAGCTCCGGAAAAGGTGAGTAAGTGGACACTGAGCGAAGTTTTTTTGTCAAACTAGATATGAGTAGAGCGGTGTACTGTAGAGTAGATGAAGAACGCAGATGCCATTCACAGCCGCAAGATGCAATTGAAATCTCCAGAAAAAGCTAGTAAGCTGACATTGAGATATGTTTTAATCAGACAAATAGAGCGCAGGTGTTTGCCACATGGATAACGCAGCATAGTGGTGGTAATGCTGTGGAAGGTCTGCTGAAAGTTTCCTAGCAACAACTCAATCAACAAATAGATGAGTAGAACATACAATGGTAATAACATTAAGAAGAAGAGCAAATTCCAACAATGACAAATTAAGACTAAGCCAAGACATTACTTTGATAGGCAGTCATAAAAAGAAGTTGATTGATAGGCTGAAGAATTACAGGCTCTGTTAACAGATGTTAACTGTAGTTAATAATTGCCTTGTGCTTTATTTTAGTGGTACTAATAGTAAAACTCATGGACATCTTTGGAGTTATATAACATATAGTTGCATCACTGCTTAGAGTCATTCCAGGAACAGACAACGTTAAACATGGTTGATCCCAAAGCAAAGAGACACCGTCAGTGTGAAGATTAAATCCTGAGCTCCTGGGTGTCTGTGCACTTAGTTCATGATCGATCCAGTCAATGCCTTGGGGTGTACCAGCGTGTATAGTTTGTGCCAAACTATCTGTCTGAGCATTCATGTGGGACTACCGGCCATCTGATTCTCATTATTTAGGGGGAGGAACAGGAAGGCGGTTGACTAATTCACAGCCTCATGTAGCCTGTTGCCTTCGGCGCCAACAGACAGACCTCCATTCTCATGTGAAAGACACTGTTGTTGTTGCTGTGTGTGCTGCCAGTTGTCGCTTTCAAACACAATGCCAATGCAGTGTTCAAACATGAAACGCAGGCAAAGCGAGATACAAACAAAGAGATTAACTTAAATGGTTATAATTGAATTCTATAATGTAGTTAAATTATAATCTTGTATTTAAGTAAAAGATGAGGTTTAATGTCTGATACACGATGCAAGCCTACCTCTGCTTATATTCCGAATTTGTATCAAGAAGCAATGTAGCACTGTTCAAGTCACAGATACGAGTAATTGAATAATTGAAAGAAATATGTATAATTTAGACCACATTGTTGAGCCAATAATGGCATTTATTTCTATTACAGATCTATTTTACTTTGCATACACTTGAGCACAGCATGTAATGTGTTCAGAGATTAAAGGTCAAGGGTGATGTCAACTCATGTAAATACAATAACCAACAGTGTGTTTGTCAGTCTCTCAATAATTTCTGACTTCCCTACTCCCTTTATTTTCCCACTGTTTGGGGCTCTCAGCCCAGAGGCCCATTTGTTTCGGCTGAAGAAATCTTTTAAAAAAAGGGATAGATCGATATACTTCCATTTTTAGAAAAGGCTAACTCATTTCCTTTTTATCAAGCCTAAACAGGAAAATATAGTGTATTTTTTGGGGACTATTTTCACCTGCAGATGTGTAATTGACTCAAGATAAAATACAGTGCCAGTGTTCATTGTTATGAGCACCCAGTGCAACAGTGTTCCACTCATTGCTGTGTTTTTGACAAACATTAAGCTCTATTGTACAGAAGAATAAGCTATAACGCACAAGTCTTTGGCTGCACAGACAACACTTGTGAATGGGATCTTTTTTTTTATTTGCTGACAAACAGAATAATATAGAATATCACCAGACCTTGTTGGCGCATCCTGCAAACCTAATGATCTCCCTCTGTAAGAAATAGTTTGTGTCTGATGTTTTTGTCTCTTTGCCTCCACGTGTTTATGTGTACATCATTTCCTCTAGCCATGGAGAGTCACGGCGAGTGTGAGATCAAGGTGCAGCTGAACTGCAGCCACTGTCAATCGCAAAGCTGTAAACGAGATGAGGATACTCACCTTATCCTCTGTCTGTGCGATGACGACAAAGTTCTGGCCAGTGACAACGTCACATGTATCGGCACTGTAGGTACGTATCTCTACCCCCAGCAAACAGTACTTTTTCTTTTAGATAACAGTCATAACAGGTCATTTTATTGTCAAACAATGAACCCTTCATAATTATTTCTTATCTAACCAGATAAAGCATTTACACTGACACAGTAACAAGTTTATTAATCAACCCTTTTCTCCCAGCAGCTCCTCACGGCCTGGCTCCACAGGGCCAGATGTCGACATCTTTGATCCTGGCAGTTGTGGTCTCCACCATCGCGAGCGGCATTGCCCTGATCTGTGCCGGCATCATCCTCAGTAAGAGACTCTTCCAGTTCTGTGTGCAGTCTGTGCCCTCCACCTTCCACCGGCTGTGAGCACAGCTGGACATACAGATGCTTCCAGATGTTACTGACAGAAACAGGAAGGACACCTCTGATAAGTGTTGGTTTTAATACTCTCCTCTGGCTGTATGCCAGGTGATTAAAGGAGTTGTGGGTGGGATATGGTTTTGAATTATACGTACGTTGCTGACACAATATGAAGTGAGCACATATGGACACTTTCATTACAAGCACTTATTTCAGGTGGTGCTCTCCTGTTGCTGGCTGTATGTAAATACAATCCTGACTATTTTTTTGTTGCCAAAGAGTGTGAAACAAGATGATACTGCAGATGAGAAGTGAGATAATGCAGTTAAATACCATATTGTTTATATGTTGTATTTATTGCCTACAGATTGCTCTCATTGAGGCAAACAGCCGAGATGTGCTTTAAGCATCTTACTTTATGACTTTAATATAAAAACACATCATTGGTTATAAAAAGGACATGCGGAAAGGTTTGACATTTAACTAGGATGTTTCTCTCAGCTGGAGATGTGTACTGATGAGTGAGATTAGATTAGATAAGATAGCAGTAAATGTCAGATGTTATGATTCAGTGGATGAAAAAACACAACTGAAAACAGAAACAATTGTGGTTATATAGACATAAAGATTAGAATAATATGTGAAAATAGAGAACTGTGATAAAAGATTAGCCTTTTAGTCACTATGGGAAGAGCACAGTGACAATTTATCTTAAACCACGGGCATTGACTCTCTATAATATATAAGTGTTATATATAGCAGAAATACATGCTATTCACACAAAGCACTCTGATATAGAGTATATGGGAGAGGGATCTGTTTTTAAATGAAGAGATGACTAGATTTGTTCACTTTCTATAATCTAAGACAATCTGTCAATCAGACGTGCTGTAAAATGCTTCACTGATGATTCTTGCACAAATAAACAGCTTACAACAGGAATAATTAGGGAATTAACAATTAACCAGTTTGTGTAGTTTTAATTGTACCCCTCAGTGGCAATGTAACTCTAGGAAAGAGAAAGGAAGGCAACTGAGGTATAAAGAGACAACCACAATCTAATATTTAATATCAATTATGATTGTAACATTGCCTGATGATACTAATGTTGCATTAGTATTTAACTTGGTCTAAAAAGCTGCTATGCAATATATACTGTGTAATGTTGACTTATATACTAAACCTCATTTTATTAACCGACACTTTATATAAATACAGTTTGTATGTAGTTGTAACAACAACATATGCAGTCATTCTGCGATCATATAGGACAGTGAGGGATTATACAGCTGATAAAATTTTTGTTTGCACCTTTGTCACCTTTTTGACAACCGTCTGCTGCAGATAAATTGGAAGGGAATCCTGACACTTTCGTTGACACACTGATCCTCCACCAAGTGCTTTTTAAGGTGTTAGAATATAGCAGATTCTCTCTCTCTTTCGTCCTCTACATAACCTCACTGAAAGTGCTGAATATTAAGCTCAACAGTGAGAGACTCACTCTTTCTTTCCCACGGTCAGTTTTGGTGAATCTAAACTTTGTGTGAGGGCCTCTGGAGAAATCTACACAGCACTGAATTCCTGTAAAATATCAGTTTCTTGCCTCCGGGCTTGTGTGCTGTCTGACAAGAAAACCAAGCATGATAAAAGCAGTTCGGTTTTTGACTGAACTAATATATGCAGTAAAAGTCCGGCAAGGAAAGTTATAAATAAAAGGTAAATCTGACAGATTTAAGGAACAATATAGAGATTCTTTCCCCCATTGGCAGTCAGAACAGAGCAAGGTAATGTCAGTTTTCCTGCCAACCTTAAAAGGAAAATATCTTAACAACTTTGGGACAACGAAAAGACATTATGTCGTGATATATTCATAGACAGTCTGGTTCTTTAACACCACTGTCGGACTATCATTTTTCTTTGTACATTGGAAAGGAAAACCGAGCAGACACTGCTCCCCAGAGGGTGATCCTCATGTCACTTTTGACAACAGTGGAATTAGTATTGCAGCCTCCAAAAAAAGAGATGGAACAAGTTTTTTTTTTAGATCAGGTATATTATTTCTATAAGACTTGATACTAATAAGTTCTAATGGCAGACCCTCATATGATATATAATAATATTGGATGTGGTTCCTAATGTAAGTGTGTGAACTGCACATTGGAAGAACAGTAGAGTATCAGAGTGATGAATGTTGAGAGAGTGTAGTAAATTGGTTCTTCCGGCTGATGCAGACAATCACAACAGAACTTTAGAGGAGATGAGAGATCTGGGGAAATGGGCAACAATGTTGAAACAGCAGTCATTTTTCAGAAAAACGGGAAATAGGAAATGCATTAAAGTGGAAAGGACGGGTTTGGTAGGTAGGGCTAAGGTCAGCCAGGCCGGCCAATATTAGTCATCAGATAAAAGGTCTTTTCAGATAAAAGTTCTGAACAGAAAAGACAGAAAACAAATGAAAATGTTAGTATGTGAAGCAGTAAAGCAAAAAGGTTTGAGAACATAGATACGCTCTGTGTAATCAGAGTGTAATCAGACAGATATTAATTGCAGATAAGATGGTTGTTTTGCTCATTATAACCAGTCATGGACAAACAGCTGTGGAGTGTAACTGCATGACATCGTGCTCCTGTAATTACCAAAGTGCAAACTAAGCTGACTTCTATGCACAACAATCAGACAAACCTCTTTTTTTAATGAAAAATGGATGAGCTATTTAGTGTGACTTCTTCACTAACTGCTTTCTGTGTAATTGTGTGAATTTGCAAGTAAATAAATCAAGTATTGAATCAAACAAGCATCTGTGCAATTACATACATGTTGCTTTCTGCTGCTGCAAAAAAAAACCCTACACACACCCTTTAGGTTAATGGTGTCTCTTCACCTGAGCTCTCCCCCATGCAGGGAGGTAGTCTGTTCCCTGGGCGCCCCATCTCCTCCTCCTCTTTCCCCTCCTCCTCCTCCTCCTCCTCCTCCTCCTCCCCTTCCTCCTCCTTCTTCTCCCCAACCCAACCCTCATCCCAAGTCCCCTGAGTCCCTAGCATCTGCACCGGGCGATGGCTCAACGGCACCTCTTACCTGCACGCAACACCCCTCTCCCTGGCAGACTACCAACCTGCATCGGGGACATGGGCTGCCTCCATGGCGGGTGAGTCCAAACTCACTGGCACAGACAGTCTAGGAGCAGTAACCAAGGAGACGACGTCCCACCTGCATCCCGCAAAACATTGTGTTTGTGTGTGGAAGGATTTGTTTTCTTAAAGGGGAACTCCACCGATGAGTTGCAGCTCAAGGCTACATTAGCTGCTATTCATATAACACACCTGAATCTCTGATGGCGGTTGTGTTGCATTGTGGGTAACGTAGGCATAGACGATTATCGCTGGTTCTGCTGCATACATTTTATAATTAAAATTTTAAAACTGTCTATTATGAGTCGTACAATGTTATAGAAGAGCAATTCTAAATCGGTGGAGTACTCTCTTAAGAGCAAAAATGACTGTGAACCAACTCTCTGACAGTCTCAAGTATTTACATTTAAAATCATTGGCTACTGAGATGTGGCTTGACCTTTCCTTGTGTTACCGCTCCTACAGTCAGCAGATAGTCAGGAAGTTGCTTCTACAACTTACATGCAAGCGTGGGGTCCAGTTAGGGTTATGATTTTTTAGACTTTGAAGTAAAACAAGCTTGACTCTGTCCTGTCTTCATCTTTAGTGTGGTACCGCAGAAAAAACGACCTGCATGCAGTGAGGGGGCGTCTGCAGAGTCCAGAGTACAAGCTGAGCAAGATCCGCTCCTCCACCATCATGACGGACTACAACCCCAACTACTGCTTTGCAGGGAAGGCCGCGTCACTCAATGAACTGAAGGAAGTACCGCGCAAGAATATAACACTTCTCAGGTACAGAACACCTGGACACGATGTCAGAATGTCAGTTTGATTTTCTGAAGGCTGTCTGTGCTGCTGCCCAAACTTACAGCTACACTTCAATTGTTTTATTTTTCACGTTGTTTTTCAGGGCTCTCGGCCATGGTGCATTTGGTGAAGTCTATGAAGGACAAGTTCTGGGGATGAGCGGTGATAACAGTCCCATGCAGGTGGCCATAAAGGTCAGTGCCATGGGGAAAAGTTGCACCTAAATGTTAGATCATAGCACCTCACCAGGAGCTATGTTGATTACATATAATCCACTCAACCCAGCTCCACAGGGGTGCTTTTGCTTCTTGAATCTAAAGGTCACACACGCATGTGGGGTTTAAAAAGACAGGTTTTTTTCATGTATGTATTTAGAGAAAGGTCATTTGCTTCACTTATGGCATATTATTAAAATGTAATAAGGTGGTTTGTTGTGGAAAAAAAACTCATGCAAATCATGCAAAGATGAAATCACGTACTGCAAAATCATCAATACTGCCCAAAATGTCTGTGTGACTATGTGAGAAATTTGTTCAGTCACTGACCTCAGCCTTGGCTTAAAAACTACACATGGTAAAAACCAATGAAACTGAGTGAGCTCCACTTGCGTTTGCTTGCTTTTCAATAGTCTGCTGATTAGGTCGAATGAGGTCTTTCCTCTTCCCAGTGGCACACACTCACATCAAACTGCTTCTCTGATTCTTTCTGCTCCACAGACTCTCCCAGAAATCTGCTCCGAACAGGATGAAATGGATTTCCTGATGGAGGCGCTGATTATGAGGTGCACCATACTGCAGCTCTACACTTCCTGTGTACATCACACGCACCCCACTGGCTGTCCAGTAGTTTATTTCACACACTGATTCACCCAATGCATCCTCCTTATAGCACACAACACATGTGAAGCAGCAGTGTGCTCACATCATCAGACAGCAGCTGGCTTTGTTTTATAGCTAAACATGTTCCTCTGTGTTAGAGGAGATAACCGCTGGAACCAGATGTGAAACTTTATTCGCTGGAAAACAAACCACTTCTATAACGTAACACACATATTGGCCTCTCATACAATTAGCTGGTTGTTTCAGCTAATTATATGAATGGCCAATTAGTCAGTGATAGACATGTCTGCAGGATATGTTTTGATCTCAGGAAAATAACTACAATACAGCTAGTTTAATCTTAGTTTATGACCTGTGTGATGTTTATTGAGCACCAGTAATAAGTCTCCTTCTCAAATATCTGTTGTTGCTTCATTAGAGATGTTTTAGAAAGACAAGACTTGATGCAGATAGAAGAAGATTTCATAATTTAGATTAGTTTAGGTCTACAGTTCAAGCCCCTTCTAAATAATACAGCCGTGATCACACACAGGGATACAGTCACTCAGGTCACATATGTATGGGAATTAATGAGTGACAAAATATAAAGCAAGGATAAGCAAAACCAGTTTTACTGTTACTAAATGTGGATTTGAGAGCGCACAGCAACAGATTTATTAGATCCAGATAAGTTTTACAGGTGAGCAAACGCAGAATCGGGGCATAATCCATATATTGAGGCCACAAGAGGAGTTATGTCTGTAAAGCATCTGTTTCTCATTTTAAAATCTGTGCTGTTATTTTAAAAGTGTTTATCCCTCGCATGAAAGTCCAAGTAAGAGCAGATCAAAACCCATTAGTTTTGTCCTGAAAGTGAAGCATCATCTCGTAAGACCTTTTTTATTGGTCCACAAGTTTCAACTGTGAAAAAGACATGACTGTGATACTGATGAAACCAGCAAAAGTCCCTTTTTACATTGTAATTATCTTACTGCTTAGAATCTGCTGAAGCAGTTGGATAGACTCTTTCAAACTCCAAATCAGGATTTTTTTTTATAGTTGCTTAAAGGGCCAATCTGTAATATTTATACATTATGGCTTCATTTTTTATTCTTCATTCAAACTGCATTTTATGTAACATTTTCAAACATATAAAAACAGAAAAAATGCAAATGATATCAAAATCATTGTATTAAAAACATAAAATATGCAGTTAATATGACAGCTGAGGTACGTGTGCAGCAGCCAGTGAATGAAATGTTGATATGTCTTCAAATTGTTATATGCACCTTGTACATTTATATCTGTGCTGTATTTAAGGATCATAAAGTCAACTTTGTTGTATGGTTTTTGAAGGACAAAACTCTCAGACAGACAGACAGAGTGTGTACCAGCACCCATCTTCTCTCTTTCTCTCTCATCTATATTGTCCTGTCTTTTGTCTTTCATATGTCACACAGCACATTTTATACCATTAACACACACAAGTGCAGGCCTGCTAACCCAAGTATTGTTCATTGTCCACACAGCAAGTTCAGCCATGAGAACATTGTGCGCTGCATCGGCGTCAGTCTGAACATCCTGCCGCGTTTCATCCTGCTGGAGCTGATGACCGGGGGAGACATGAAGAGCTTCCTGAGACAGAACAGGCCACGAGCTGTAAGTCTGTGCTACACTTTTGTGTGTTTGAGGTGTATGTGCTTGTGTGTATGGTACACTAAATTGATCTGTGCTGCATCCAGGGCCAGACCTCTTCTCTCACCATGCGGGAGCTGCTGCGGATGGCCAGAGATATCGCCTTTGGCTGTCGCTACCTGGAGGAGAACCACTTCATACACAGGTTCAGATCCACTGCCAGTTATTACTGCTAGGAGCTCACTTTAAATACAAAATGAATTGTGAGAGCCCCTTCTTCTACGACAAAAACATGTGAATGAGTATCATATAATTAGGACTCACTATTTTTATTGAACCTGGTAATGTTTCATTTTAAATATATTTAAATTAACTGAAGATATACTTACACGAGCAGGCTCTGTTGCATAATTAGCCACAAATTTGATAGATTTTCACAAGTGGACCTTCTTTACTGTAAACTACAGTGGTTGATGTTCTTGCAGCAGGAAACATCATTTTCATGTAAATGTAAATCCTCCTTTTTAAAATGTGTGTTATTGTTAACAAATTTGGGAAAAAACTATAAACTATGAGTCTTAGGTTGGAGAGTTTATGGCCACCATATGGCTACATTTTGTAACAGGTCCTGTGTTTTTCAGAGACATTGCAGCTAGAAACTGCCTCCTCACCTGCCCTGGACCAGACAGGGTGGCCAAAATTGGAGACTTTGGCATGGCTCGAGATATATACAGGTGTGTATCCTGAATCTGCATCACAACACACTGGCTGTCCACATAGCAAAGCACACAGGATGATTTACAGTGGTGTCTCTCATGGGTGCAGGAGTCCAGGCAGCACTGGGTTGATGTGGTAAATGGGGGACCGGTTGAAAAGCTTATCTTATTGTCCTCCGCAGGGCCACATTCAAATTTACTTACAGAGTTCATGGCCTAGTGGTTTTTACCTGCTCTTCTTCTCTTCTAAACTGATGGTAAATGGACATTTCTAAATCAGATTTCTTTCTTCTCCCAGAGCCAGCTATTACAGGAAAGGTGGTCGTGCCATGCTGCCAGTCAAATGGATGCCACCGGAGGCATTCATGGAGGGAATCTTCACCTGCAAGACTGATACATGGTATAAATACTGAACACATACTGTACAGTAAGGCTCAAAAAGTATGAATCCACAAAGAGAAACTGTTTTTAATTTTAAAAGTGGGTACAGTTTCCTTTGTTCTCGCTTTGAGATGTCTTATTAAAGAGTATATTACTTTGGAATGACAAAATTCTTTAACACATGCTGAATATCATGTGCTCATACTAATTGTTGCCAACCACTAACAGTACATCATACAAACATCACAACTGACATTGTGCATTAGTAATTTTTAGTATTTCTTTTTAAATGATACCAGATGTTAAAAACAGATTTGCATTGGAAATCATTTTTCATTTCTAACAATGTCAAATTGTTCTCTTGAGTGTTGACAAGTACCCCAGCAGCAAATTGCAGCTAATTTAAAAGCCTCCATGGGGTCAATACAATACAAGCTGGAGAGATTTCCACAAACTAAGTAATTTTACTCCTAAACAAAACCACACAGACCTACAGAGAACTCAACATCTAAAAAGCACAGTATATCAAGTGAACATCGATACAAGACAGAACAGCATCTGTATTCAAGACAGAGTCAACTGAACAAAGAACGCAGTGAGAAACAGGGTTCAAACCACTTCTCCTGTGACAAAAGAAGTCAAATATTTAGCAAGGGACCAAACAACATCTAAAACTTCACTTTTGAAGACTGGAAGAAAGATTTGTTTACAGATCGAGTCTGAACTGTATAACTGCGATGCGAATTTTTATGTGGAGATGACAGATATATTAAAACATGGTGGTTGGAATATGTAGAGGATCAGTGACAGTTTGACCACAGAGAAGTATACTTAAACTCTGAAGGGGCACATTGTTCCTTCTTGCTTGTTGTTTGGAAGATGAATCATTCTCCAGCAGGATAGTGACCCACAAGAAATTGGAAAAACAAGAGTGTGATCTTGTGTGGCCTTTTATCCAGTTTCCAGATGTGAAATCCAGTGGACACCTGAATGATATAATCTAGTCCAAGCAATATCATTGAACTAATGATATTTTTTTGGACCCCACTGTATACTGATTATATACCAGACTGTATATATATTAATTTTGTCAAAGAGCTGAGGAGATTTCTAGTTAGATGCAAACTTCAGCTTTCAGCTTTTAGCCAGTGGACAATTACATCTCCAGCTTTGGTATTAGTATTCTTTGGTGAGATATATAGTATTGATTCTGCTATCCTCAGTCTGAGAGAGATGAGAGAGCAGCCAAGGCTCAGTATGTGATAGAGTCGACTCAGTTGTTGATCTGTCTCTCCCCCTGCAGGTCATTTGGAGTGCTGCTGTGGGAGATCTTCTCTCTGGGTTACATGCCGTATCCTTGTAAAACCAACCAAGAGGTGCTGGAGTTTGTCACCACTGGAGGCAGGATGGATCCTCCCAAGAGCTGTCCAGGGCCCGTGTGAGTACTGACAGCAAATACAGAAGGAGAAAAGTTCAAGCATGACACAACTGGGATGATTTTAGTTGTCTTGCTTTACATTTTCTTTGCAGTGCAGATTTTCTGAGTGTAAATGTTTCATTAATTCCCTGCCAAGACAGAATGCTGTGGTGTATAACAGTTAAGAAAAGGAGATTTATTATTATGTTATGACAATACCATTTGTCTGATAGTACTAAATCTATAGTAGTATAGTAGTAACAGCTCAAACAATATATCTGAAATTGTGTTTGTTACTGTGTAGCTATCGGATCATGACCCAGTGTTGGCAGCACTGTCCTGAGCATCGGCCCAACTTCTCTACTATCCTGGAGAGAATTAACTACTGCTCTCAGGTACACTTCATATCACACATTTCTGTAGATACATACAGAAAATTATCATTAGTGTTACATAAATATAACATGAATTTACTCTTTCTTCATTCTTTTCTTCTGTGCCCTGTTTTTTTTTATTTCCTTGCCGCATCACTACTCTATATCAGGATCCAGATGTGATCAACACACCTCTGCCAGTGGAATATGGCCCCACCGCAGAGGACGATGGTGGAAGAGTAATCCGTCCCTCTGACCACACCTCCACCAGCCTCACTCCCCTCCTGGTGTCCCATACTGTTTCCCAGGATTCCTCCTCCCAGCTGGGTCTCTCCTCTCTGGGCCTGAGTCCAACCCCTCTTCCCCCACAGCCAACCAAACCTCGTCTACTCCTCCAGAGAACCCAACCCGTCCACCATGAAGTGATGTCATGCCGTGAAGCTCTGGAGCCATCCTGGGCTGAGCCTGTTCCTGCCCCTGGTTTGTCCTCTGCAGGCGTGTGCACGGGAGGCCACTGGCTCCACCCTGAGCCTCCTCATCACCGACCTTGCTCCAGAAACAGCTCCTCTTCAGGGAGCCAGAGGCTGAAGAACAAGACAAAGAACCTGTGGAACCCCACATACGGCTCCTGGGTTTTGGAAAACTTCCGGGGGAAGAAAACACTCGCTCACACTCAGTCCATGCCACTCTCAAGCTCCTCTTCCTCCACTTCTAACATGCAGGTTCCTCAGACCTGCAACCCAACCTTAGAGAGCAGCGAGGCTGGCTGCGACAGCACCAACAGCACCCACGTCAGCCCTTCCAGCCTCTGCACCTCTTCAACTTCATCCCCTTCCTGCCAGGCTCAAGCTGCCCTGAGCACATCCTCCCATAAAACCCCAACAGGTAGCAGCACAAAAGCTGGCATGGACCTAGCTAAGCTCCAGAGTTTTCCCTGTGGCAATGTCAACTATGCCTACGATGAGCAAAGCTACGAGGCAGAGAGCTTGCCCTTAGTTATGCCCAAAGCCCAAGAAGCCATCACAAACACCAGCTCTGCCCCGAGTGTCTCCTCAGGGACTAGCCTAGGACTGGCGTTAGGCCTCCATACCTCCTCATCTTGTATGCCCAAGCTGCTGCTGAAGCGCCACGCCAGCTACGGACACGAGGACGTCAGGAGACACACCAAACCTGAGAAACCCACACGCGACCGAGACTCTGGCTTTTCTCTGTCTGAAGACCTCAGTGTTACCCCTATCTAAGAAACGGCTAACTGTAACAGGGATTTTAAATGATATTAAAATTAAATGTCACCTGGAACCCCTTTTCACACAACCTGAGACTAGATTCCTGGATTTCTGAAAGAAAAAGCATGACCGCGAGGGCTCTGCCACGGTCTGAGAGCCACAACATCAAATTATTAGAGCTCCTGGAATGCTGGAAAACACAGTCACACGTTCACAAACACCCCTCTGCACTGTGATACAGAGAGCCAACGCTGGACTCAGAGCCCTTTGCTGGGCTTCTGGTACTCTGGTCGCTGAACACTGAAGCTGAAACACTGCGGCACGCAGCCCAGCGCTTTCTCAATGTCCACATTGCCAGTGATGGCTGCCATAAATAACTGCTGTAGTTGGACTCCTTTTTCTACCTATATGTTTTTGTTTATTCATGAACGCTTTGGCAGTAGTATATGTTGCATCACAGTAAACAATTTGTTGGAATTTGTTGTATTCAGTGTAGTATGACCATAACAAGCCAAAAAATATTGAGCCATTGGGAAGAGAATCTCCAAGATTGGGTTTCTTTTTAGAATTTTTTATTTCAAACCTTTAAAATTCTGAAAGTCTGTAGAGTTACTAAAACTATTTCATTTTATGCATTCTTTAGGAAGTGGTACACTTCCATGATTCTGATTTGCTTTCACCCTAAATAATGTGAAAACACATACGCCTAATATACTGCAATAACAAGTATTACTATTTTCTGAAAATGTCTCTGACGTTTTCTCTGTTTTTCTAAATAGCTCTTGAGCTTGAGGGTTCATTCTCAACCTTGGAAACAGCCGTTTGGCAAACAAACTCTCAAAACAAGGTCTACTTACTCAGTGCTTCTAAAGCCTCCCCAACAGATGGAGTTTGCTCAGTTGTCATGGAGATGGTTTAGTCGTTAAGTATGGCATTTCGGCCACATGAATGTGTAAATGAGGAGATCATAAACCCTGCTTTTGTTCGAGGATGATCTTAGGTCTTAGGTGTCAAATGTGAATCCAACCGTCCACTGACTGCAGGTTAATGACTCTGACCTCCTCCCAGTTGATCTGAAATCTCACACTGAAGACAATACTCCAGAAAGCCTTTGCTTCTAGCCAAGAAATAGTCCCACACAAACCCACTTACACCCCCTTTACACTTCTGTTTTTGTATGGATTAAAACAAACAAGATATGGCACGTTACTAGTGTAGAGGTGCTAGCAGGCAGATAATTTTACCTTTGGATGGAGTCAGGCTAGCTGTTTCCCCTTGTTTCCAGTCTTTATGCTAAGCTAAGCTAACCAGCTGCTGACCATAGCTTTAAATTAACTGTACAGACACGAGAGTGGTATTGAGCTTCTCATCAAACTCTCTGCAAAGTATTTGCCAAAATGTCAAAATGTCACTGAAGGCGTTAAATTGGTTTGCGCTGTACTGTAAGTAAGTGGAGCTCGTGCTGAGAAAGATCTTGATTTGGCTTTTGTATATTATATTTTTGACTATTCCTGACTCTCTTTCCCCCATGTCCCAATATTTACTTGGACTTATAGACGTATATGCGTATATAGAATTTGATGATGACCATGTAGCTGTGAAAATATTTGCTATTTTTGTACTGACTTCTGTACACTGGACTAACCCATTGCATTTGTAGCTGTTTTATAATTTATTTGTATTCATTTATGTTAATGATGGATCTGTATTTGTAGTTGATCACTGCCATTAGATACCTCTACTGCATCTACTGATGTAGTGCTGGTAGTACCTATGTTTACTCAGCAGGGGGAGGTATTCAGCTTTGACATACCAAACATGCTGCTGCAGGTATCTCAGTTCCTACAGTTAATCAAGGCTTTAATTGTGAAAAATCTCTATTGGTATTTATGTTTTCAGGTTATTCTTATTTAATCAGTTTGGTAGTTGTATTCGATATGTGTCTTTATTTGGAGCCTGAATATGTTGATTGTTTATTTTTTAATATGTTGAATGAACGGTTACATTCATGTGAGAGTTCTATAGGCTTACTGTGTGTTTTTATGCTCAGGCCTGCTGATATTAGTGTTTATCTTTGTTCACTTGAAAATAACATGTTTTAGAAAAGACAAAAGGCTCACGTAGTTTTCTGAAGACTCCTTTTAGCAAGAGATGTGTGCCATTTAGAAATATTGATTACTGTGGAAAGTCTTTCACAGAAAAAAAAAATCATCCTCGTCTTGCTCACAATGTTTAGTTTTTATGGCCTGGTGCATTTTATTACACACTCTCTGAAAAAGTTATTTTTTTCTGTATTCTTTATGTAGCTGGGGGTGCCTCAACCAAAAATGCATTCTATGCAATATACTGTATTTCACTTTCATCTAACCTAACTGTGCCCCAAATAAATCAACATATATTGATCTTCTTTGTGTGAGTTTGATCAGTTACACAGAGTTTGCTCCCAGTGTCCCGGTGTATGTTCACAATAGTGTTTTACTATTGAAAATAAAAGTAACAGTATTTTCCCTTTTTAATTCCACATACAATTTCATTCATTTCATTTGCGAAAAAAACATCTCAGACCAAGACCAAATAATGTGCTATAACAAACATTGCAGCATACAACAAGTTTTGCAACAGCACATGAAATTAAAACAATTAAAGATAAATTTGAATTTATAAGTTTAAATTAAAGTTTGATTACAGGAATAAAATAAGTGAAAGAAAAATAAATTGATATACAATAAAATGTTTGTCAGAACAGTGACACAGATAATACACTCTAACCATTATACAGTATGCAGTACTATATTGACAATGTGTTATGTGTTGTAGACATACGACTATAAGGTCTGAGACCCAGTCAGAATTTCTCACTGCACAGAATCTCTCCTTTAATATTACACTTACAGGCGTAACATTAGGCTGAGGGTTCAGTGGAAATAAGCAGGACAGGGTTTGTGATTTGTGATTCGGTTTCTCCCTGTTTTCATTCACATGTAACATACCATCCCTGAAACTTAAATGCAGAATCCCTACACTTTCACTTCTGTTCATTTTGTAGGAAGTTGAATTAGTGTCAGTTCATTTGCTCAATAGTTCAGTAACTAGTGACAACTCCTCTGTTCAGTGTCTATCATGTCTTTTCTGTCAGTGACTTTAAGCTAAATGTTACTTCTTGTAGCATTTCTGTACTCTTTTTAACATTGCCCATACAGCACCCGGAGCAAATCAACCTATAAGAAGCCTCCCTAAGAGTCTCTCTGTGATGTCCATTAAAATAGTTTGAGTTTCTTTCACCCATCTACAAGTCAACGATCACTGACCATCTCTTTCTGTAGTTTGGCTATTTTCTTTGGTAACTGAGCAAAAGGTTTCTTCGCTCCTGCCCTCACTGCTTACAGACTCCAGTGTGTGGATGAGGTTTTCCAGCCCCCACAGGTAGCCGTCCTCCCGGTTGCCTTCCTGCCAGGGAATGTCATGGTTCAATGTCTGCCCCTCTGGTAATGCTGTGGTCTTGCCAAAGTCAATAATCCAGACCTGGGCATTGCCCGTGTGGTCATGGATAAAGAGGAGAGAGCTGCCAATGACCTATGAAAACCAAGAAGAGTTTCATATTAGCTTTTGCTTCTATTCATCAACCAATCCATACTTACAGATGGGTGACAAATTAAAGGAAAAACTTAAATAATAGGTTAATGCATGAAGATGCTCCCATACAGCAGTGACTCCCAGTTATACTTGTACCCCAGGGGGTAGTTAAACAGTGGCCAGGGGGCATATGGAAAAGAATGGAAATTATGATTTGATTTTTTTTAAATTGCATCATCTGTAATTCTGAAACACTGAAAGTGTTTGAAAACTACACAGAACAAAATTATAAACGCAACACTTTTGTTTTTTCCCCCATTCATCATGAGTTGAACTCAAAGATCTAAGACTTTCTCTATGTACTCAAAAGGCCTATTTCTCTCAAATATTATTCACAAATCTGTCAAAATCTGTGTTAGTGAGCACTTCTCCTTTGCCGAGATGCCCATACCATAACCCCACCTCCACCATGGGCCACTCGATCCACAACGTTGACATCAGCAAACTGCCGACCCACATGACGCCATACATGCTGTCTGCCATCTGCCCTGTACAGTGAAAACCGGGATTCATCCGTGAAGAGAACACCTCTCCAAAGTGCCAGACGCAATCGAATGCCCACTCAAGTTGGTTACGACGACGAACTGCAGTCAGGTCGAGACCCCGATGAGGACGACAAGCATACAGATGAGCTTCCCTGAGACGTTCCTGACAGTTTGTGCAGAAATTCATTGGTTATGCAAACCGATTGTTGCAGCAGCTGTCCGGGTGGCTGGTCTCAGACGGTCTTGGTGGTGAAGATGCTGGATGTGGAGGTCCTGGGCTGGTGTGGTTACACGTGGTCTGCGGTTGTGAGGCCGGTTGGATGTACTGCCAAATTCTCTGAAACGCCTATGGAGTCGGCTTATGGTAGAGAAATGAACATTCAATTCACGGGCAACAGCTCTGGTGGACATTCCTGCAGTCAGCATGCCAATTAACATCTGTGGCATTGTGCTGTGTGATGGAACTGCACATTTTCAAGTGCCCTTTAATTGTGGCCAACCTAAGGCACACCTGTGTAAAACCCATGCTGTCTGATCAGCATCTGGATATGCCACACCTGTGAGGTGTATGGATTATCTCGGCAAAGGAGAAGTGCTCACTAACACAGATTTTGACAGATTTGTGAACAATGTCTGAGAGAAATAGGCCTTTGGAGTACATAGAGAAAGTCTTAGATCTTTGAGTTCAGCTCATGATGAATCGGGGCAAAAACAAAAGTGTTGAGTTTATAATTTTGTTCAGTGTAGTTACCAAGTAAAAAGAGTCTAAACAGTTCAGCTAAAAGTAAAGGATTAACATTTTAAATAGTTAGCTGAACATAATGGATAAATGGTTGAAATGTCTACCTTCAGCCACTCCAAGTAGTACTACAAATGCTAATTTGACCATCCACTCTAAATTCAAATTAACACATCTGGAACAACGCTTGGTGACGTTGGAGGACTGCTTGTGTTTATCCGACACCTGTGAGAGATTTCTGACCTGTGTGTGAGACAGCGCTCCCCACCACATCATCAAAACACAAAATATGAGAATATGTTTTGGAAAAATGTTCAATCCCTCAAGCTGACTTTAGGTGAAGTTCCTGCTTCGAGAGTATGGTTGTTTTTCCTTTACTTTGTCACTCATCTTTAGATTAGTCATCACCTCGTGTTGCTTGAAGAACTCTGACATCTTCAGGGCCTGCTGGATCTCCGTCAGTCTGCTCAGGTAAGACTTCTGCAAGAAAAAACAGTGACGGGCATTAACCTTAAAATGCTAACATTACCTGAAGCCCATGATTTAATTTACAATATATTTATTCTGTATACATATATTAGAAGCTACGGTTGGAACCAGGTTGGAACATATCAGGGTGTAGACACCTCCAAGCATAATGAAAACTCAAACAACATTACAATGTGAATATTTGCTTTGTGCAACACAGTTGAATTGCTCCGTGGTTTGCTCTTGCAGTTCAAACAATTCAAGGCTGTTTCATCATGAGACAGGCCCCAATTATTTTTTTTTTCAATTTAAGGAGTGAGCAAACAAAATAATTGTTATTGTCCAAACATTGAACACGGATGTGAGAGCTTAGTCAAGTGGCGTGTTTGTAGTTGGTGTAGTCTTTAAGGATAATGCCTGCAAGTTCGCTCTATGTATATGCACAGTACAAGTGCATAAACATGTTTTGTGACTGTCCTTGCATGCATACCGCATATGTTTGTGCAAAAGCGAACTCATTGCCACATACTATGATGCTGACGTTCCCTCCAACAAAGTCCTTGAACACCTGGATGACATCCTGCTTCGATCTGGTTTTCTTGAAATCCGTTCGGCACGTACCGTCACATTTCTAGAAGAGAAGAAAAGGCCTGAATAAGAATATTACACAATAAAGTGACTTCAAACAGAGTAATTTCCTTACAGTATACAGTATATTTTATCAAGTGGTTCCTGATGCTGAGCCTGTAACCAATCAGTTGCCTATTTACACATCCAGCAGACATAATGGCATTTAAGCATTTATTAGGAGTTGTGTTTTGGCCACCTGATGAATGAAAGTCCAACATCTGACTTTTTAGCTACTAAACGCTCCATTATGTTCACCAGCGAGTCACTTAAAGCCCCATTATGTAACTTTTCGACCTTAAAATAACAGCTTCACTCATCATTTTAATGCCACACTGAGTTGCAATAGAGTCAGCGGTGCCACTGTCATTCCCACTCTGAGCCCCGTCTTCCTGTTCTTGCGTTATGTAACTTTCGGCTCCAGGTCGAGACAAGTGCGTAATGCTTTACGTCACTAAGTCACACACCACCAACTGGAAAGTGGATCATATTTTATGGATAAAATTATGAAAATGTACCCTCTGATGTCCTCCGGCTGCTCTGCTTCAACTCTCTGTGATTTACACAGTTTCCTGATGGACACTAAAGTAACTGCTGTGAAATGTAGCAGCTGTTAGCCAGTAAGCTTAGCCGTACTGCCCTGGACGTCCAGGACTGGGTGAGCACTCAGGGCACCAGGGGAGTGTTGGTGTTTACACTGGCAACACAGGAGCTTTGGACTACCAGGAAGAGGATGTTTTCAGGCCAGAGACGGGGGGGGGGATCTTAGTAATGACTCTTAAACATAGGCCCACAGTTAACATTTACATTTTAACTAGAGCAGCTTTAATGACAAGTTAATAGTGTCCACATAGCACATCACTCCCTCTACCTTGATCCCTTCTATCCTGAAGCCCAGGGTGTTGGTGGAGCTCATGGTCTCCCTCCACTGCATGTAGCGAGGTTTGGTGACGCCTTGTTGGGAATGCTCCTGGGGAGTCGGTCCCTCACTGTCCACCTCCACCATCTTCTTGTACAGGTCCTCCCTCGGCTTGGGCCGTTCCCGCGCCCGGACAAGCTCCTCCTCCAAGTACGTCCTGAAACGGCAAAGGGGATAAATCCTTCAGGTCAATTTTAAAAGTGTTCTCTGCATGTAAATAAACAGTGATGGTTTTCTCTTTCAGGGTTTGTCTTGCATTCGCACCCTTAGTTATTAAAGTGCAAGATACTTCGTTAACAAAAGCACCAGCATCAGTATAAAACCCTTACAGCAAAAGCTTACAAAACACTTTTCGCAACAGAAGACTCTTCTTGTTTTACTTTTGCTGCACTAAAAGCCTAAGATCAGCTCCATCCGAATGTTCACTTGTGCAGAAAAAGATGAGCAGTGCATAAAAATCCCATTACTGAACTGCACAGCTAAGAGCAACCGGCTGTATAAGATTAAATTAAATTCTGCTGGTGGACAGTTC